AGCGCAGCGAGCGCTTCACGTGCTGGCACCAGTACCACAACAAGCGCTACGAGAACGTCGGCAGCCGCATCGACTACGTCCTCGTCGACCGGGCCCTCTTCGAGGCGGCGGCGCCCGTCGCCGGCGCGCTCGACGCCGGCCTGCGCAGCGACGTGGATGCGAACACCGCGCGCGCGGCGCGCGGCGCCGCGGTCCTCGACGGCCGCTGGGCGCCCGCGGGCTTCGACGGCGGCGGCCTCCGCGACGGCCGCGCGTCCGACTACCTGCACCACTCGAGCCACGCGCCCCACACGGGCATCCGCTACACGCCGCCGACCTGGAGCGACCACGTCGCGGCGACCCTGTGCCTGGGCGCCGCGCCCGCGGACGCCGCGCCGCGCGCCGCGCGCGCGGCCGGCGACGCGCAGCCCCACGCCAAGGTGCGCACCATCACCCAGTTCTTCTCCGCGGCCAAGCCCGGCGCCAAGCCCAGCGCCAAGCCCAAGCCGCCGCCGCCGCCCAAGCGCAAGAGCCCGCCGACGATCCGCGACTTCTTCGCCAAGAAGCCGAAGGCGCCGTAAGCGTTGCAACGTTGACGTTAGCGCGGGTGTCCGGGTGCTCCAAGGGGCACTGTATGATATATGATATGATATGGTGAAGCTCCCCTTGGGTGCGCATTGGCTGCGAACAAGGGCGATGGCACTCCAGTGCGGCTCGGGCCTCGGCGCGGCTGCAGTCCACGTGCAGCGCTGCGCGTCCTGGCCCCTCGCGGAGATCGTCACGGCGCACCGGACGGACCTGCTCGTCACCGAGTTCGCATCGCTGGACGAGGCCGAGGAGGCCTGGGGCAAGCTGTCCCTGTTGCACGCGTCCGTGCTCTTCGTCGGGCCAAAGGCGCTGCGCAGCTACGGGCGCACCCATAGCATCCGCCGCTGGAAGGAGCGCAGCGCGCGGCTCGAGGCGCGGCTCCCCGGCGAGTACGACGTCCGCGGCGCGACGATCGCCGGCCGCGTCGTCTCGGAGATCGCGGCGACCGACGCGCGCATGCGCCGG